ACCTGACTCCGAGAAGGCCAAAGGGGTGGAGTGGAAGAGGCCCCATGTAAAGTGGGGCTGGGGCCGGGCCCCGGGTCTGAGGGAGGAGGCTGGGTCTGAGGGAGGAGGCTGGGTCTGAGGGAGGAGGCTGGGGTCTGAGGGAGGAGGCTGGGGCCCTGGGCCCTGGGTCTGAGGGAGGAGGCTGGGGGCCTGGATCCTTGGGTCTGAGTTGGGCTGGGCCTGGACCCTGGGTCTGAGGGAGGAGGCTGGGGCTGGGCCCTGGGTCTGAGGGAGGAGGCTGGGCCTGGACTCCTGGGTCCTGGGAAGGGGCTGGGGGCATGTTGTCTGCTTCCCTCTCTCGCCCACTGCCAGGTGCATAGGAAGACCCTGAACCCCGTCTTCAATGAGACGTTTCAGTTCTCTGTGCCCCTGGCCGAGCTGGCGCAGCGTAAGCTGCACTTCAGCGTCTATGACTTTGACCGCTTCTCGCGGCACGACCTCATCGGCCAGGTGGTGCTAGACAACCTCCTGGAGCTGGCCGAGCAGCCCCCCGACCGCCCGCTCTGGAGGGACATCGTGGAGGGCGGCTCGGTCAGTAGCACCTGCGTCCCACGGGCCCTCGGCTGACTTCCCCCCCCCCAGCGTGAGACACTGGTTTTGTGCCCTCCTGGCCCTGGGACTTCCTAACTTCTTGTCCCGGGGGTTTGTTGTTTGGTTGTTTTAACGGGTCGTGACACAGCAATGGGCCTCTCATCCCCGACCCCGACTCTGCCAGACGTTAGCATCCGCCTGGATCCCAGATTCCCGGCTTCAGGCCCCCTCCCCACCCACCTAATGATGTCACCGTGCAACCCTGTGACATCTGCCCTCCGACTCCCCAGCTTCCTTCACCTCCCACCTCCTGACCTTCCAGTTGCCAGACCTCCGAAGCCGCAGGCCTCTCTGATCTCGGGACTACTCCACTTTTCAAGCCCATGACCTTCAAACTCCCCCCTCTCCCGCCCGTCCTGTTCTGCCCAGTGTTTCTTCCTGCCCCCTCTCCGAGTCCCCATAGCCTGATCGCCTAGGCCTTAAGCCTGCTGAGATCCCCAGTTCCCCATGCCTCCCAGGGCCTGGATGGTGGTGCCCACAGGCTCTCTCCCAGGGCGCCCTCCTCCTTTCTTACAAACCCACCCTCTGGCAGCTCATCTGTGTGACCCCAGAGTCAGCCCCAGGCCTGCTCCCCGGGATACCCACCTCCCGGTTCTCTGTCTCTGGGAGCTGTGGACGGGCAGCAAGGTCTGTTTGCACACCAGGACAGGGCTGTTTCCCTGTCTGGCCAGTGGCACACTGGGTGCCTATGGCTCTTGCCACGGGCCCCCACGGGCTCTCCCTGGCCATGTGCCCTGTCCTGGAAGCCCAGCCTCTGGACCTAAGTGCCCAGTGCCAGGGACCCTGCCTGCCGTGCTCCCATCTGTCACACCTCTGCTCTCTGATGCTGCCTCAGCAGCCCCACAAGGCCCTCTCTCTTGTCCCCTTGTGCCTGTCCCCTCCCATCTGCCCCTGGCTCATCCATTCATCCCTCCTCCCCCCAGCCTGTCCTCGGGAGCTCAGGTCTGGGTGGACACAGCTGGTGTCAGGGGCCAGTGTTGTGAGGACACACGGAGGAGCATCTGCCCAGGGCTTGTGGGAGGAGGTGACCGCGAAGCTGAGGCTTGAAGGCTGGGGAGGTGACAGGAGGCAGGGAGGGAAGGGTATTCTGAGCCCAGGGAGCAGCCTGGGCAAGGGCCTGAGGAGATGGGGGAGGGATGGGACGCAGGGCCCAGGCGGGCTGCAGGGCTGCCCAACGCAGTGTGGTTCCTGGCCAGCCCCGGCCACTGCTCCATCTCTGTGTCAGGGACGGGGGGTTTGTCTCCCTTGAAGCCTCGCTGCGACTGGGGAAGGGGTTCAGTGATGCCACCTGTCCTGCAAGCTCCAAGGTCCCCTCCTACTGCCCTGAGCAGATGATTCGCCTCTGTGTCCCCAAAACACTGGCCCCTAACACCGTCGGTGATGACCTAGACCTGGGCCCCAGGTCTCTCTCTGCATATTGGGGGTCCAGTCGCTGCTCCCCGTCCTCCCCTTCATACCCCTAGGGTTCCCACGCCCCTTCCCACCCAGTCCCCCTCTTGCTCTGGTCTCTGCTCCCTCACAGGACCCTGGCCCTGTCTCTCCCTCCTCCACTGGGTCTCTGTCTCCCTCCTGGTCTCTGTCCTCCTCTCTCTGGGTCTCTGTCCCACACCCCGCCGCCCCCCGCCCCCCGTCTCTGTCCTCCTGTCTCTCGTCTCTGTTCTCTTCTCTCTCTGAGCCTCTGTCTCTCTCTCTCTCTCTGGGTCTCTGTCTCCCCCTTTCTCTGGGTCTCTGTCCCTCTCTCTGGGTCTCTGTCCCCTGTCTCTCTGGGTCTCTGTCCCCCACTCTCTCTGGGTCTCTGTCCCCTTCCCTCTGGGTCTTGGTCCCCCACTCTCTCTGGGTCTCTGTCCCCCCCTTTCTCTGGGTCTCTGTCCCCCCCTTTCTCTGGGTCTCTGTCCCTCTCTCTCTGGGTCTCTGTCCTTCTCTGGGCCTCCACCTGTGGTCTCTTTCCACCTGTCTCCATCAGCATCCTGGCCCCTGGCCCATCCACTACTCGCTGGGTCCTCTCCTCCCCCC